CGAGTTCAGTACTTTATTATCAGACGCAATTGCTACTGACTGGCACGTGTTTTGACAGTGTGAAATATCTAATTTTCCAAAGTGAAATGCCGGCTCTTTACGTGAAGACCCAAGGCTGTCCGTGATCTGATCCCTGTTTACTTCTCTAGCTTTCCTATCTTTTTACTCCATTACTTTAATTTTTTCCCCCCTTTAATAAAGAGTAAAGCAGCCCCTGCTGGCATTCACATCCAGGCCCTGGTGTTCTCATATTAGATACAAATGATTTCACATCAGACATACCAACCCTGTGACCGCAGTGGAACAAGGTAAGGACAAGATTACTCCATAGTCATACCTTAACACAGATACAAACAAGAACATTGTTTAATGACCACATAGCCCTCACTCCCCAACCCCCAATCCAGGGTAATGTAAATGACTGTGGAAAATTTACCAACTACAGCTTTTGCCTTTGCCATGGACCGAATGTTGTAACCCTCCCACCACTCATATACTGGAGCGCTAATCCCCACTGCAGTGGTATTTTGAGATGGGATCTTTGGGGGGTGATTTGGTTTTGAGGCTAGTTTGCTGAATGAGATTTGTGCTCTCACGAAAGAGACCCCAGAGAACACTCCTGCTCCTTCTGCCATGTGAGGACCCAGTGAGAAGCCCCTCATGAATCGGGACACATGCTCTCACCAAATACCAGATATGTCCATGGCCTGATCTTGGATTTCTCAGCCTTCGGAACTGTGAGAAATAAATTTCTGTTTTCTATAAGCTACCCAGTCTGTAGCACTTTATTATAGCAGCCTGAACTGACTATGACAGATCCCACGGGAGCTCAGAGACATCACTTGGTGAGCTGGCATATATTCATCTAACTAAAACTCTTATCAAGATATTGAATATTTCCAGGGAACCTGGGTGGCTCAGTGGGTTAAAGCCTCTGCCTTCGGCTCAGGTCATGATCCCAGGGTCCTGGGATCGAGCCCAGCATCAGGCTCTCTGCTCGGCAGAGAGCCTGCCTCTCCCCCTCCCCTCTCTCTGCCTGACTCTCTGCCTACTTGTGATCTCTGTCTGTCAAATAAATAATTACAATCTTTAAAAAAAAGATATTGAATATTTCCATCATCCTAGAAAATACTATCCATCATGCCCTTTCCTATCAATACCAGTGTTCAGAGTTAGAATCTCTGCCCTGTGGATAAGCAGCAGCTCGAAGAAGAAAGCCCCTAACTTCTCAGCTGTGTTCACCTGGAATTAGCCTCTTCAATATAGCTGGCAAGGAATGGGAGATGCTGGCAGCCTGCCCTTTCCTGGGAGGAGATGGAGCCTTGTGTCCTTGCTTTACCCACCTGCAATGGAGTTTCCACCATCTTGAACTAGAATAGGGATGGAAGTAGAACCAGCAACATTATTCTTAAAAGCCAAAACTGGGAGGGGCGCCTGGGAGGCTCAGTGAGTTAAAGCCTCTGCCTTTGGCTTGGGTCATGATCCCAGAGTCCTGGGATCAAGCCCTGCATCGGGCTCTCTGCTCAGCAGGGAGCCTGCTTCCTCCTCTCTCTCTCTGCCTGCCTCTCTGCCTACTTGTGATCTCTCTCTGTCAAATAAATAAGTAAAATCTTTAAAAAAAATTTTTTTTAAAAAGCCAAAACCGGGAATGATTGAAATGTCTATCAACTGGCGATGCATAAATGAAATGTGGTGTATATTCATCCAATGTAATAATATTAAGAATAAAATGTCGTTAACTATGGATGTGTGCTCTAACATGGTTCAGTCTCAGAAATTTAATGCTTAGTGAAAGATGGCAGACACAATAGACTTTATGTGATTCCATGTGTATGAAATATTCATAAAAAAGTTCATTAGAGACTGAAAGCAGATCAATGATTTCCTGGAGCTGTGGAGGGAGTGGTATTGATTGCAAATGGGTATAAGGATCCTCTTTAGGCTAATCAAAATGTGTGACAATGACTACACAACTCTATAAATTTACCAAGAATCATTGAACTGTATACTTACAACGAATTAATTTTATATGTCATAAGTTATACCTCAATAAAACATAATTAAAAGCTTGTTGGGGACTCCTGCTTCTGAGCATGAGAGGGTAACAGGGCCCAGAATTATCCTCCTGTAAACAACTAGAATACCAAAAAAAAAACAAGAAACCTCTATTTTCTTTTTTTTAAAGATTTTATTTATTTATTTGAGAGACAGAGATTATAAGAAGGCAGAGAAGCAGGCAGAGAGAGAGGAGGAAGCAGGCTCCCTGCTGACCAGAAAGCCCAATGGCGGGCTCAATCCCAGGACTGTGGATCATGACCTGAGCCAAAGGAAGAGGCTTTAACCCACTGAGCCACCAAGGCACCCCAAGAAACCTCTATTTTCATACATGGAATGCAGACAGGGAAAAACTGTGCTTCTTGAGAGAAGGACAAAAATGAAGTCAACCATATAATCATCCAGGTTTTTTGAGAGGAGGATAGCAGTTTGTGGATAGCAGAGTGAGAGGCGATGGGGGCACAATAAAAGGGACTGCAATTTCACGGAGTTGAGGAGCCAGACATTGAAGGTTAAGGAGACTGACCCAGCTAAAATATGTAGGTCAGAGTTTCAGACAGGAGGGAGTATTGTGGAGAAAGGGTTCAAGGTCTCCATGAAAGGTCCTTGAGTGGTTGGCAGAATACCAAATCGCATGTTCACAGACTGAAACCCCATGAGGCCAAACAAGAAAATTTCTAAGGAGAGAAGCAATTACCGGAGAGCTATTAGATGGGAGATTCCCAGGGCTCACAAAAGGGCCTGGACTTGTGCATATCTCCTCCAGCCAGAGTGAAGATACCTCCTTGAAGCCATGGGGCACTCAGTAAAAGTTCTAAAAAGGCCATGGCATTCAAGTGAAAGAAAATGACCCTGACACTAGACCTATCTTAGGAGGAACTAAAAATTAAATAGTCTTTTTTTTTAAGATTTTATTTATTTATTTGACAGAGATAGTGATCACAAGTAGGCAGAGAGGCAGGTGGGGGTTGAGGGGGGAAAGCAGGCTCCCCGATGAGCAGAGAGCCCAATGCGGGGCTCGATCCCAGGTCCCTGAGATCATGACCTGAGCTTAAGGCAGAGACTTAACCCACTGAACCACCCAGGCACCCCTAAAAATTAAATAATCTTAAAAATATTAGCCCAGAGGTGCCTAAGTGGCTCAGTCGGTTAAGCATCTGCCTTCAACTCAGGCCATGATCCCAGGATCCTGGGACTGAGTCTTGCATCAGGCTCCCTGTTCAGCAGAGAGCTTGCTTTTCTCTTTCCCTCCACCCCTCCCCATGCGTGTGCTCTTTCATTCTCTCTCTCTGTCAAATAATCTTAAAAAATATATTGCCCCAATATGCAAGTAACTTAACTGCCTTAAAAAAAGTTGGTTTTTAAAGAAATACAACAAAACCAAGCAGTCAGACACATAAAATTGACAATGTCCAGCATTCACTGAAAACTCACTAGACATACAAAGGAGTATGAACACATGACACTAGACAAGAGAAAAGTCGTTCAAAGGAATCATGGTCAGACATGACACAGGAGGCAGAAATAGAAGACAAAGACATTGAAAGAGTTATTACAAGTATGTGCCAGATAGACTCAAGGATGTAAATGAAAACATTACCATTATATATTAAGAGAAGAAGAAGATTAAAAACAGGAAATGTAACTTTTTAAAAAAGATTCTATTTATTTGAGAGAGAGCATGTGTGAGCACACACATGCGTGTGAGAGAGTGAGGGTGGGGGTGGGGTGGAGAGGGAGAGAGAATTTCAAGTGGACTTTATGCTGAGGGCAGAGCCAAACTCAGGGTTGGAACTCATGACCTTGAGACCATGACCTGAGCCAACATCAAGAGTTGGACACTGAACAACTGAGCCACCCAGGCATCCCCAGGAAATGTAACTTTTTTTTTAATGTTTGTATTTATTTATTTGACAGAGAAAGAGCACAAGCAAGGGGAGCAGCAGGCAGAGGGAGAAGAAGGCTTCCCACTGAGCAGGGAGCCTGATGTGGGACTTGATCCCAGAACCCTGGGATCATGACCTGAGCTAAGAGCAGATGCTTAACTGACTGAGGCACCCAGGCACCCCAGGAAACATAACTTTTAAAGAAGAAAATATATTATCTGAGATGAGAGTTCCACTGAATAGGATCAACAGCAGATAGAACGTTGTAGAAGAATGATCAGTGAAGTTGAAGATGTAACGGTAGATCCTGTTCAAACAGCAAATATAGAGGGGGAAAAAGGATGGAAAACACATGTTCAGGGCCCTGTGAGATAGCATCAGGCCACATTACATATGTAAAAGGAGAGACCCAGAGATAATGAGAGAGGAAGAATAGGAAAAAAATACTGAAATAAATATTAGCTTCAATTTTTATTAAATTTTTTCCAAATTTAATTATAATAGTGAATCCACAGACCCAAGGTACTCAACAAATTCCAAACGGGATAATATCTTTCTCTCTCGTGTTCTCCCACTTCCTTCCTTCTCAACACACACACACACACACACACACACACACACCAAGGCATATATTAACAAAATAATTTAAACCCAGGGAAAAAGAGAAAATATTAAAACTCGCCAGAGAAAAAGACAAAACTACAAAGAAAGAAAGAAAGAAAGGTAAAAACTACAGAATTCTCACGAGAAACTATGAAAGACAAAAGAATTTGAAGTACCAAAAGGGAAGAAAATGTGATCCTTAAATTCTTTATCCCATAAAAAAATACCTTTCCAAACTAACTTAAACAGAAACTTTTCCAGACAAATAACAGCTGAGAGAATTCAGCACCAGCATACCCACACCACAAGAAAGATAGGACAAGGTATTCCAGCAAAAGGAAACGGATGCTACAGGGAAAATGTATACAAAAGAATAAAGAGACATCAAAGGGTTAATATGTGGATAAATATGAAATAGTTTATTTTTCTAATTTAAAAAATTTCTTTAAAATTCCCTGTTTTAAAAAATGATATATTTTGAGATTTATAGCACTGTATTGTGGGGTTGAAGTTTGGGCTTATCCAAGATAAACACACAGAAGCAGCATATTACACAGGGTATGCCTAATTCAAATTAATTATAACAAAAATCCATCTGTGTCCTCCTCACCACGGATGCAGAACCAGCAGGAAGAGTCTTAATGGCCAGAGGTAGAGAGACCTGATTCCTGGAGAGGAGGCAGGGTCCAGTCCCCCAGGAACCCCTTGCTCCACAGAGCTGTACAGGAGTGAGTCTCTGGGGCGAGGATCTGTAGTTTGACAGATCTCATCCTCCGGTCAGCAGCACCACCGTGAGGAAGAGGGCTCAGTTACAACTTGCAGCCTTACTCTCTTTGGAGCCTCTGAACCTGTTGGGGGAAACACGGTTCTGAAATAAGGGGCCAGTTCTGTGGAGGGCTTGCTTTGGAGAGGACAAGAAGAGTGAAGCCACCCAAGGTGTCCCAGAATCTGGGCTTTTCACCTGGTGTAGTAGATCCAGGTGAGGCCATAGGTCAAAAGGAAGCCAGCCCCCATGAGGGCCCCTCTGAGTAGGGTGAGGATTAGAGGCCAGGTGCCCCCAGAGATTTGGGGACAGGAACAGGAGATACCTGAGGGAAGAAGACCAAGAGGAGGAGGAGGAGAGTGAGGTTTCTTAAGTTCATACCTCAGTCTCGTTCACCTCAGAATGCAGGTGTCCCACGTATACTCATCCTGCACAGCTAGGTTCGTGCAAACGTGGTAGGAGCTCCACAAGTATTGGGCCTGGCAGGGGAATTCTCCTCCATCACCCAAGACCAGCTGGGGCAGCACTAGGACCCTGGGATTTGTGGGCTGGGAGGGGCTCAGAGTCAGGCTTCCCCAGCACCAGCTCAGCCTGGCAGGGAAGTTGCCATCAGTGTCACAGACCAGGCGCAGGGACCGGCCCTCCTGAACTTGAAGAGAGGTGGTTCTGACTAGGGTCTCTGGGACTACGGGACAGATAAAGCCAGAAGGGGAGGGCTGAGAGCCCCTTCTCTTCCTCTGCTCTTCCACAGACACAGGCGTGGAAAATAGAGTCTCTCAAACAGGTGTTACAAGCACAGGCAAGTAAGAGTGAAGGGCCATCTGGTGAGATGGAGAAAAGGAGAAGCACCCGATGATCCCAGGACAGGTGGATGGACCTCTGAGCAAGAGCTGGCCTGTCTAGACCTGGCAGAGGACGTCCCAGGAGGTGGGCTTTGATGTGTGATGCTGAGGAGGGGCGTGGACACACGTAGGGTCTGACCACTTGCAGGGAGAGACGTGGAGACTCACACACAGGTGATGCTCCCAGCCTTTCCTCTGAAGGCCACAGGGAACCGTGGGAGGGTCTGAGCAGGGGAGGAACAGGGCCAGATCTAGGGCACACAGAGAGACACCTGTAGGCTGAATTGTGCTGGGCTGGAGGGGTGGGGTGTTGCGCAGAGAATGGCAGGCGGGAGAGGAGGCTGGTCCCAATGCAGGGGGTCTCACTACGTGCAGGTGAGAGGAGGCGGAGGCCTGAGGGGGGCTACTGCCATGGAGATGGAGGAAGAGAGTCATTTGAGATATTTTCGAAGCTCGCTGAGTCATGGGGAGTGCTGGTTGAGGCAAAGAAATGTCTCAAGTGACTTCCAGGATGTTGACTCAGGTGGCTCGGGTGGGAGGGGCCCCCCAGGGAAGCGGAAGGGGCTCGGGAGGATCTGGACTGGATAGAGACGGACAGAGGGTCTTCTGGGCAGATGGGGGACTAGAGGCTCCAGGGCCCGGGCTTACTCACGGGGTCGTGCAGAAAGCAGCCGGAGGCCCAGTGTCCAGCAACAGGAACCTGTATCTAAGGCTCCTGGTGGGACAGTGAGATGTCATGGCCACAGGAGAAGCAGAGAATCAGAAAAAGGGCGTGATAGGAGAGTGAGGGGAGAGAGGAGGCAGCCACGGTGACAGCGAATGGTCAACTAGGATTCCCAGGGACTCGAGAGTCCATCCAGGGGAGGGGGGAGGGGCAGATTGGGTCCAGGGAGGGGATGAGGAGCGATGGGGTTCATTCTGGCAGACCCTCACAACATTCCCTTATTTGACCTCTGAGACTTCCGTGGTGCCCCAGGGCCTCTCCCACCTGTGCTGTTTCTCCTGAAGGTGTGGATGGTCAGGTTGTGTGGAGCATCTGGAGCAGAAACAAATACGTGTCCACTTGCAGTGTGACAAGGCGGCCATGAGCAAGGGGGTGGGGCCCGAGAGTTCTCTCCCTCTTGACCCTGTGCCTCTAAGAATTCTCCCCAAGTATCTCACCCAACCCCTGTCCCCCCAACACCCCCAGCCCTCAGGGACCCTGGCACCCTGGCCTGGCACTCACAGGACACGTTGAGCTGGACAGTCCTCTCCGTGCTCACACCAGCTCCGGGGAAGGTCACTCGACAGGTGAGGTTGGTGCCATGGTCCTGGGGCCTCGGGGTGAGGGTGAGTACGGGGGAGTGGGGAGCCTTGGAGCCCCAGGAGGGGAGGGCAACTCCGATCCAGGAGAAGGTGGGGGGTGTCCCCCTCTCACAGGCCCATGGCACGCTACAGGTAATGTTCTTGGGGTGGCCAGATTCTAGGGACCCCTGGATGTGGATGTCAGGTGTCTGTGTCAGAGCTGAGGAGGAGAGAGAGATTCTGGAGTGGGACCCTGAGTGTGCCCCTAGAAGCAGCCTCCACCCCAGGCCAGCTGTCTCCTCCCCAGCCAGGATGGAGATCAGGGGGTCCCTTCCCGGCCCTGCCCCAGGAGCCCTCGGGATCCATGCTTGGGACATGTGTCCTCTCCTGAAGCCCATTCCATACCCGTCACAAACACGGAGAGCTGATTCTGCAGGTAATTATATCTCACAGAAGACCCTCTCTCCACCCTAAAGAAGTATGTCCCCGAGTCCCTTCTCTGTGCATCTCTGATGTCCAGGGAGCAGTCGTAGGCCCCGGGGTCCCCGAGGAGGTGGAATCGGCCCTGGGTCTCCTCCTGCACTTTACGACCTGGATTGTTTGTGGCCACCGGAGCATGCTGGTATACACTGGCCCCTTCCTGGAACCAGTAGCCAAACGCTGGGAAAGACTCGGTCCAGAACATTTTGGAGTGGGAGAAGCGGCAGGGCACGGAGACGCACAGGCCCTCCTGCACCTTCACCGTCTCCTGCACCAGCAGCTGGAATTCCAAGCCCTGAGCCAGGGACCCTGTGGAGAATGGAGGGTCAGCAGCAGCCCCCGCCCACCTCGCCCCCTCCCCTCGGCCCACTCACCTGTCCAGAGCAGGGGTAGAAGCAGCGGCAGCAGCATCTTTGAGATGGAGGGTGTGTGGCCTCCGGTGGGTGAAGGAGAAGAGGAAGGCAGTGGGAGGGAGGCTGAGGGGGACCCACGGGAAGCTGGGGAGGAGCACAGGGTCTTGTGGTTCACAGAAGAGGAACTACAGCTCCAGAGCTCACCCGTTCTCTACGCAGAGCCGGCCACACCCTTGGCTGGACACCAAGGAGATCCACTTGGGAAGGAGAGAGCAGGAGCAGACCGGTGTCCTGCTCCTCATCTCGGAACTTCCCTCTGGCACCAGAGCCTGGACCAGGACCTCTGAAGACATGTGAGGCCTGGGACACAGTGAGTCTCCTGAGGTCTCTTCCACCCGAGGGTCTTGTCTGAGCAGCACCGTCTACACTGGGGAGCTAGTCAACTCCAGGCTAGACCTGGAAGGTCACAGCCTCATCTAGACCCTTGGGTGTTCTGTCCTGCAAGGTGGAGGACTCTGTAGGTCTGTGTGAGCCTCTGGGGCAGAAGAGAAGGGATCCTGGGTGAAGAGAAGGCCGCGGCCATTCATTCATTCATTCATTCATTCTCCGTGAGCTTAGTGAACATCTGTGTTGGGGGACTGGAGACGAGACAGCTGGACCCAGCCTGGTCCATCCTGTGACGCGGTCCCCACCCAGGGAGCCACTTCCTCCCTAGACACATGGCGCCGTCCCCGCAGGGCTCAGAGCTACAGGCACCTGTGACTGTCACATGTCCTGGATATTTTCTAAAAATATGAGTATGAGATTATTTTTGACATGAGTAAAGCAAGTAGTAAACAAGAACAACTCTTTTTAAGCTGCAAAACTTGAACTCTACCCATTACTTTTTTTTTCTTATTTGACAGACAGAGATCACAAGTAGGCAGCGAGGCAGGCAGAGAGAGGAGGAAGCAGGCTCCCCGCTGAGCAGAGAGCCCGATGTGGGGCTCGATCCCAGGGCCCTGGGATCATGACCTGAGCCGAAGGCAGAGGCTTAACCCACTGAGCCACCCAGGCGCCCCAAACTCTACCTATTAAAGAACAACTTCCCATTTCCCCTACTCCTGGCCCCTGAAACCACCATTGCACTTTCTGTCTCCAGGAATTTGACTCCTTTTGAGAACTCACATAGGTGGAGTTATCCAGCACCCATCTTCTTTGTGACCCATTTATTTAACTTATTAACTTACCGTAACATCCTCCAGGTTCATCCATGTGGCAGCTTATGTCAGAATTTCTGTCCTTTTTAAGGCTGAATAATTTTCCATGATAGGGACACCTGGGTGGCTCAATCGGTTAAGCCCCTGCCTTCAGCTCAGGCCATGAGCCCAGGATCCTGGGATCAAGCCCCGCATCGGGCTCCCTGCTCAGCGGGGCATCTGCTTCTCTGTCTCCCTCTGCTCCTCCCCCTGCTTGTGCTCTTTCTCTCTCTGCCAAATAGTGAAATTTTTTAAAAAAATCTTTCAAAAAAAATATTCCACAGTAGGTTAAGACACGTTTTTTATCTGTTCAGCTGTTGAGGGGTCCTTGGGTTGCTTTTACCTTTTGGCTCTGGTGCCTAACGCTGCTATGAACATGGGTGTGCAAATATCTCTCGGGCCCCTGCTCTCAGTTCTTTTGGATATGCACCTGGACGTGGCATTGCTGGATCATATGGTGATTCTATTACTCATTTCTTGAGGAAAGGTCATACTCCTTTATAACTTTATCTATTATCACGTCACATTAGCTATGCATTTTAACGTCTCCACTCTGGACCCCTCTTCTGATTCTGGACATTTGTACTCCTGCTCTCTCACGGACATCCCTGTTGGAGGTTAAGGGGCTTCTCCAAATGAACCTTTCAAAACCCGGCTCTCTGGAGTCCTGCCTGGAACAGGACTCTGTCCTTCCAGCTGCTCAGGGGAGACCCTGGGTATCGTCCTTGCTCCTCTCTTCCTCCCATCCCCCACATCCATTAGAGCATGCTGTTGGCCTGACCTTCGGAATATATCCAGAATATATCCTCCCCAGCTACAGTGCATCCCTGGTCCAGCGCACCACCACCTCCTGCCCCCCCTGGACCGCCGCTGGGACCCCTCCACCCCCTACCCCCAGTGCCGTGCCTCTCTTTTTTGTTGCCCTGGCCCCGGTCTGGCTGATTCTGAACAGAGTAGTCATGGGGATCCTGCTAAAATGAGGGTCTCAGCATGCATCTGCTCTCTGCAAAGGCTCCCAGAATCTTGCGGTGGGCTGCAGTGGCCTTCCTTGGGGGTCTGTGCCACCTTCCGGGCTCCCCGACATTTGCACTCCTGTGCTTTTGGCCTCAGAGCTGCCGTACTCGCAGTTCCCCTCTTCCCATCTTCCTGGAATACCTTCCTCTTAGGCAAGCAAAGAGTCTGCTTCTTCCCTCCCTTGGAGCCTTTGCTCCACTCTCACTTCCCCAGCCTCTCCGTTCCCAGAAACCCAGCCCAAGGCGCCGGAGAGCTTTTCCTCCAGGTCGGTATCAATCCATGACATGCTCTCATTTTATTTTTTACTTTTATGTATTCTTTTTTTTTTTTTTAATTTTATTTATTTGTCAGAGAGAGAGAGAAAGAGAGAGAGAGATCACAAGTAGGCCGAGAGGCAGGCAGAGGCAGAGGGAGAAGCAGGCTCCCCGCCGAGCAAGGAGCCCGATGTGGGACTCGATCCCAGGACGCTGGGATCACGACCTGAGCCGAAGGCAGCCACTTAACCAACTGAGCCACCCAGGCGTCCCACTTTTATGTATTCTTGTCTCCATAACGACAGCACTTTGACCACAGAAGTGCTTCCTGTCCCCTTGAGTTTCTTGTGATAAAATATTCGTAAAAATAAAACTTGCAAATTTTTGATACTGTAGAGGGTGCAATTCGGGGACACTGAGTACACTCACAGTGTGATGTAATGATCATCGCTGCCTCTTTCCAAAACTTTTTCATCATCCCCAACAGAAAGTCCACACAGTTACCCAACAACCCCTCCCCACCTCCATCCCTGAGCTCCTTGCAACCCCCATTCTACTTTCTGTTTCCATGAGTTTGCCTGTTCTGAGTAGCTTAGAGAAGCAGAATCAAACAACATTTGTCCTTTAGTGTCTGGCTTTTTCCTTTAGCATATTGTTTTCAAGGGTCATCCCTGTTGTGGCTGCATGACATTCCATTGTGTGTCTACACCACATTGACTCATCTGTTCTTTTGTTTTTAAATCATCTTTTATTATTATATTTTGATTTTGTATTCATTTGAGAGAGAGAGAGAGCTAGAGAGAGAGCACAAGCAGGGGTAGTGGCAGGCGGAGGGAGAAGCAGACATCCCGCTGAGGGCGGAGCCTGACTTGGGGCTCAATCCCAGGACCCTGAGATCATGACCTGAGCCAAAGGCAGAAGCTTAACCAATGGAGTCACACAGGTGTCCCAAAACTGTTTTGCTTCTTGCCTTATGATCTGGATAATTCTTTTTTTTTTTTTTAATTTGACACAGAGAGAGAGAGATCACAAGTAGGCAGAGAGGCAGGCAGAGAGAGAGGGGAAATAGGCTGCCCACTGAGCAGAGAGCCCGATCTGGGGCTCGATCCCAGGATCCTAAGATCATGACCCAAGCCGAAGGCAGAGGCCCAACGCACTGAGCCACCCAGGTGCCCCCGATCTGGGTAACTCTTATTTCTACTTCTTGCATTTATTGCAGTGGAAAGGATCTACAAAATACTGTTTAACAGAAGTGGTAAGGGCAGCCATCCTTCTTGTGTTTGATCCTGGTGGGAAAGTTCTGTGACCTCTGGAACTGGCCCCTCCAGGCCTTCAGAGAAATCGTTAGCAGAAACTTTCTGTTAAAGCATCTAAGAGAAGTCCTGACACACGCATGTGTGCAGAGTTCACGGAAAGCTTTGTGTCAGGACTTACTGACTCATCGATCTTTTGTGATCATCTCGCTAGATGAGGATGACTTCTCTGCTTTGTAGAACAGTAAAGTGAGTCATAAAGTGTGTCTGTGGCGTAAACGGATTGGAACTCAGTCTTTTGGACACAAATCCTGGGGTCTTCCACATGTACTAGGAGATTCAAAACATTGCCAAGAAGCCCATTAATTTTAAAAAAGTCAAGGCTGAGTGTGACGGGCTGAAAAATCCTAAGATTAATATATTGAAGTCCTAAACCCCAGTACTATAGTACTGAGACTGTAGGAGATGGGGTCTTGAAAGAGGAAATTTCAGTTAAAATGAGGTCACTAAGGTGGGCCTTAATCCAGTACATCTGGTATCCTCAGAAGAAACTTAGGACACAGACTCACACAGAGGGAAGACCAGGTGAGGACAGAGAAAGAAGACAGCCAACTACAAGCCAAGGAGGGAGGCCTCTGCTGACACGTCGATCTCAGCTTCCAGCCTCCAGAACTATGAGAAAAACAGTTCCTCACTTGTGTATCTTGATCTCTGAGTACTCGGTGTGGATGTCTTCCTGTTCCGGATACTTTGGCTTGGGAAATCTGAGGAGAGCATAGTGGAGCTCCTGTTCCTCTTCTGAAATGGGCCTGGCCTCAGCAGGAGCTGGGGGCGCTGCAGGGATGTCTGTCCAGGACTGGTGCTGATATGCCTGGGTGGAAGCAAGAGATACTCAGAGCTGGTCAGTAGGGTCTGAGATAAAGCAGCCAAGGACCAGAAGGGAATTGGCCCTGATGGGACTTTTATCACTTACCCATTCATTTATTTCTAAATGTTTAATAATTAAGATTGGCCAGCCCTTAATTAGTGTTTATATCAATTATGTTACATTCTTTAAAAAAAAAAAAAAGTCTGAGAGAGGGTATTATTTATGTATTCATCACACAAATAATAAAACTAAGGCTAAGAGAAATGATACACATTGCCCTAAGGACACACATCTATATAGGGGTGCTTGGAAGGCTCAGTCGGTTAAGCCTCTGACTGTTGATATCAGCTCAAGTCTTGATCTCAGGGTAGTGAGTTCAAGCCCCAGGTTAGGCTCCATGCTGGGTGTGGAACCTACTTAAAAAAAAAAAAAAAAGACACACGTCTGTATAAATGCACCATTGAGCCAACTCAAAATCAGTTCTAACTATAGTACCATCCTTTGTCTGGACAGTGTACGAGCTGTTGTGTGGAGTGACGAACAACACAAGTACAGTTCCTGAGATCAGACGGCTTATGATTTTCTGGGAAAGGCAGTCACTAAACAAATAGAAAACAAATACATTCGAAGTTCTACATTCGTGATAGGAGATATTTTGAAATCTAAAACAGGCAGGGTTGGCGTATCCAGTTCCCAGGCAGGGGCAAGAAGACCTAGCAGAGGTCAGATCTGGCCATCAAGATGGCAGCCCACCTCTGCTCAGGACCCACAGCACCCTCGGGCTGTGGCAGCATGAAACAGAGGCCCTCACACAGTGGCTCAGCGAGGCAAAGAGAAAGAGTTCTCAGATTAAGAGGAAGCAGGTATTTCTCGGGGCTCTGGAGATACAACAGGGGATAAAACAATAGCAACAGCCACAAACCGCCCTTGGGACCCCCCTGCTTAGGGGAGGGAATGATTCTGATTGGAGTCATGAGTCCTGGGCTTAGTCCACGCCAGGTACTGTGTTAGACACTTCTCGTCACTACTCTACGACACTCTACGGACTCGTAATGTTCCCATGTCACCAACATAAAGAGCGGTCAGAGCGGGTGTGTCACTTGCCCAAGGTCACCCAGCTTGTCTGTGGGGAAAGATGGGATTTTGAATGCAGGAGTCTAGCTCCAGAGTACATGCCTGTGGCCACTATACTGTACAAACTGCAAAAGACATTCCCTTAAAAGAAAAAAATACTGAGAATTTGAAAGTAAAGAAATGGAAGCTGTATTTCCTGCTTCCTGACAAGATGGGGATTTAGCACATGCTAAGGGTCCCATTCCCCAAGGTCAACCAAGGAGAAACAAGACAGGGAATTATGGTAATTAAACTTTAAAGATGATTTTGTGTGTACTTGTTCTGCCAGTTACTGAAAGAAGAGTTTTGAAATCATCAACTATAATTGCCAATCTGTTCTCCTTGCTGTTCTGTCAGTTTTCATACGTTCATTTTGATGACTATAATAATAATAATAATAAATTAATATTATTATATTATTTATATTATTATATTTATATTTGTATTATTTATATTATATTTATATTATTTATATTATATATTATTATATTTATTTATAATTATATACTATATAATGTATATAGTATAGAATATTATATATAATATTATATATACTATAATATTAATTAATATTATTGATTATAATATATAACATAATATAACTTATTATTATTATTATTATTATTATTATTATTATTGGAGGCATACAGGTTTAGGATTTTTACATCCAGACAAAGGGAGTAAATATTCCACGATTTCATTTATATGAAGTTCCAGATGGGACAAAACTAATCCATCGTGATAGAAATCAGTGATTGCTAGAAAGATCAAACTGACTAGGCAAGGGAACAAAGGTATTTGGGGACCTGATGGAAATGTTCCACATCTTGACTGGGGACATGGGCACAGGGCAAACACCTTTGTTAAAATTCATTTCACTGCATACTTAAGATAGGTGCATTGTTATGTGTAAAGTATACCTCAATGAAGTTGATATTAAATACATACACAGGGGTAGATTTGAAAAATGAAAAGTGGGAGTGATGAGTTGTGAGTTTGGGGTTCCCCAGTCTCTCTACCCTAGGGCTCAAGTCCACCGCTTCCCTAGCACCCAGTGGGTCTGGCACAGACTAAGTTTGGGTCAATGTACTTCTGGGTCATCAACCCCACAAGAAAAAGCTGATATTCCAAGGGAATGTGATACTCTGACATAGGAGCCATAAATATCTCTACAAGCAACTGGGCTATATACTTAGTCCATCAGAAGCAGAAGTATTAGAGCAGTTTAATCAGGAATTTAAAATAACCACATGTGGAACTCCAGGGAGTATTAGATATAAATCAGGAAATGCTCAGGCGCCCTTACTGAGGGCTCCTTCCAAAAGCCATTTGCTGGATAGGAGCTCACAGCCTGTCACTCACCCCAGAGCCTGAGCTGCCAGCTGGGCTCAAATCCATGCTTTGCACTGGCTGGACTGTTTTCTTCCTGCCGGTCTTCACTCTAAGGGAACAGCCCTGGTCTTTCAGCTTGGTTATTTGGGGCATGCAGTAGGCAGACCATCCCCTGCACCCCACGAAGAACATAGAATGAGGTAGGTGGAGGTGGGTCCAGTCCCCAGGTGCTCGCCTAACCCAAGATCTGGACCAGGGGCTGGAAGAGGCCCCAGACTTGGCCCAGTTGGGTATGGGTTGATTCACACTACCACTCAGCCTCCTTCCCTGACTGCTGGATTTCCAACCAGCCCAGGCTCCTCTAGCTCAGGCTTTCCGAGATTCCACGACCTTATCCCCATCCCTCTCCAGGCTTCTCCCTCTATCTCTGGACCCACTCTCACCTGAAGATGAGGCAAAGGCAGAGGGAAAGCAGGGCCATGATGCCAGCTCCCGCAACTGCTCCTATGACCCCAGTGGTCCTGGGTTCCGGTTTATCTGCTGAAAATTTGAGTTGTGTGTAAGCTCCAGCTCCAATACATGGCATGATCCAACTGGCCACTTCCTTCTCTCCCCACCCCCTGTTAGTATGCCCACTCCCCATCTAGGACTCAGTCATGTGACATTCCACTGCCCAGGGAACCCTGAAGCAGCCCCTTCCCCAGGCCTCAGGACTGAGGATCTTAAACCTCCAGCTGCTCCATTTGGGGCCTTGGTAGCTCTCCCCCACCAGCCCCATCTCTCCGGGGCTGTTATGGGTTGAATTTTGTCCCCCACCAAAGTCAAATGCTGAAGTCCTAGCCTTCTGGTACACCCTTCCACCCAGCATCTCAGCATGGGACCTTACTTGGAAACAGGGTCTTTACAAAGGTAACCGAGTATTAAAATGGGACCGCTAGGGTGGGCCATAACCCAATATGGCTAGTGTCCTCATAAAATGGGGCTGTTTGCACACACACACACACACACACACACACACACAGGGGGATGCCATGTAAGCATGGAGATATAGGTTGGGGTGATGCTTCCACAAGCCAAGGAACACCAGATTGCCAGCAAACACCAGAAGCTAGGGGGGAGGCTGGAAAAGGTTCTCACAGCCTCAGAAAGAACTGATCTGCAGACACCTTGATCCTAGGCTTCCAGCCTCCAAAACTGGAAGACAATAAATGTCCATTGTTTAACCTGTCCAGATTAAGGTACTTTGTTACAACATCCCTAGAAAATTAATACAAGGGCCAAGTTCTTCTTCCTCCAGGCATCACTCACAGACCCCAGACCTGGGAGCAGCAGGACAGCGGCGCTCTGTTTCCCCTGCGCATTCTGGGCCTCGCAGCTGAGTCTGAGGCTGGAGCCCAGCGGCCCACTGAGGCTCAGGGAGCTGTTGGCCCAGGGCCCCGCAAGGCTGGAGGTGACGGTCCAGGAGGCGTTGCTGTGGTTCCCCTCCAGCAGCTCCTCCCCCAGCCGCCAGTGCAGGGTGGGCGCCCGCTGGGCTCGGGAGGAGCAGTTACAGCGCAGCCCCTCGCCCTCCCAGGAGCAGGAGGGGCTGAGCAGCCGCGGGGGGTCTGCGGGAGAAAGGGGAAGGGTCAGGGGTGCCGCTGCTCCCCAGGCCCCGGGCAGCCTGCTCCAAGGGGTCCCCATACTCACAGAACACAGAGAGATGCAGGGAGATGTGCTGGGAGCCCAGCGGGTTCTGAGCTTGGCAGATGAGGTCTCCTTCCTCCACAGCCCCTACTTGAGATAGGTCCAGGATTGGACTCCTGCAGATTGGGGTGGCTTTCCAAGTGGGGGACCCCCGGAACCAGCTCAGCTCAGCAGGGGGGTTGCTGTCAGTAACACAGAGCAGCCGCAGAGCCTGGCCCTCCAAGATGAAAACTGATGAGGTGTTTTGCAGAGTCCCCAGGGCTTTGAGGAGAGAGAGAGAGAGAGAGAGAGAGAGAGACCTGAGTTTTGTGAAGCTGGTGTTTCTCTCCTCTTGCAATGTCCACGCTTGCTCTGAGGAGGAAACTAGCAGAGTCCATGCCAAAGCCCTGCAAAGGAGGCTCGGATGATTTCCCTGGAGCTGCTCCAACTGTCCAGCAGATGGAAATCTGAGGACCCGGGACAGGAATATGGTGAACAAAGGCAGGGAAAGGGTCAAAGAGGAGCCCAAAAGCAGGAAGAGGATTTGCCCAAAGAAAGTTGTAGGTGAGCGAACATTAACTTCAGGGAGTCAACGTTGTTGGGGGCTTCTCCCCACCACTCTCCCCATGCCTGAACTCAGTGACTGGCTTCTTGTACATGTCTCATGCAATTCCTGGCCAGCAGAAGCTCTGAGACCCAACAAGGACTGTCCTGGTAGACCCAGTTTCCACCCCAGCCCTGGAGAAAAGAGGTTCTTTCCTACCTGTTCTGCTTCCTTGGAAGATCCTGATGGCTGTGTTCTGTGGAGCATCTGGACAGAAGGATGAGGCAGCCTCAGCACTTGCGGTAAGAGAGGAGTGTGTGCTGGGCCTTCCCCCAGGAGCCACAGAAGCAGGTAAAGGGGTTCTCTTCCTGTTTAGCTACCAAGACCCCATTGTCAAGCCCTAGCCCAGCTCCGCCCTGGTCTCGCATCTCAGGGATGTGGGCATCCTGGTCCCACACTCACAGGTGACATTGAGCTGGACAGTCCTTTCCACCATCACACCAGCTGCAGGGAAGTACACTTGGCAGGTGAGGTTGGTGCCATGGTCCTGGGGCCGTGGGGTGAGGGTGAGCACCGAGGAGAGGTGAGTCCTGGTGCCGAGGGAGGTAAGGGCAGCTGACATCCAGGAGAAGATGGGTGGCGTGCTCCTCTCACAGGCCCAGGGCACAGAGCAGGTCAGATTCCTGGGGTGTCCAGACTCCAGGGTCCCCGGGATGATGATATGAGGTGTGTGGGTCAGAGCTGTGAGGACAGAGAGGATAGATAGGGGCCTCTCGTTGTTTTGTTATCCTGTTCCAGTGCCTGGCCGTGGCCGTCTCTACCCCTCACCGTCCCCCAAGAGGAACAGAATGTTCATTTTTCTATCTCTGGGGCCTTTCTCTGGGCCCTTACCATACCTGTCACATTCAGAGAAAACATAGTATCTAGATATGAATATGTGCCCAGTTGAAAGAAGTAAGTCCCACTGTCCCCCATGTGGACTTCCGTGATGTCCAGGGAGCAGTTCCTGGTCTGGGGGTCCCCACGGATGAAGAACCGGCCCTGGGTCCTCTCATGCAGCTTCTGGTTTGGTTTGTTGGTGGCCACTGGAGGATCTTGCTTTACATCTGCCCCTTTCTGGAACCAAGACATGTAGGCGCTTATAAAGGAAAGCCAAGGGTAGGAAAATTCGCACGGCACGTGGACACACAGACCCTCCTGCACTGTCATGGACTTCTGGAGTTTCAGCTTGTAGCTCAGAACTTGAACCACAGACCCTGGAGAGAGAGAGAAGGAAAAACTCATCCCAGAGCTCCAATGCCTCCCCCGAGTGGGGCCCCCTGTCCCCTCAGCCCACTCACCTCTCCACAGCATGAGCAGCAGCCACAGTGGCATCCCTCCCCGATGCCCGGGACAACCTGCCCTCTGCAGTTCCTCTGATAGAGAAAAGAAGCCACAGGATATGGGAGGGCAGAGGAAGCTCCGACCGGAAGCCTGTGGTAGAAACAAAAAGTCACAAACCTAGAATAGAGAACTTCAGACCCACGGTCAACTGTGATTAACCTTTGAAATAGTCTGGTTCCCTTTCTGTGTGTGGCAGGTGGGTTCTGAGGCTCTGAGGCGGCAAAGGTCTTGCTTAAGTAAGGCAGCGAGGAGGGACGAGAGCCTCCAAGTCCTGCCTCTTGGGCTCCTGCCAAGTTGTCCAAACTGGACACCTGTTTCTGGACAGAGAAGTGGTTCTGAACTTGGGTTTGGCTCTTGGCCGCTTGAAAATAATATTCACACACACCTAGAACTAATATAACACTGGATGTTTACTATACTAGAATTAAAGGAAAAGGAACAAAAATCAATACTTGAGAGACAAGAGATGGTGCTTTATCCAGGAAGCTGGCAACCTGGGAAGATGGCAGACTGATGTCTCAAAGAAGGCATAGAAAAAGGTAAGGGAGCTGCATGCGGAAGAAGCAGGTTAGTCATGTGAGGACATGACCCTGAAGAGACTGGCTGACATCCACAGCAGCTCTGTTCACAGGTGGTCATGCCTTCTCTCTTGGGAAAGTCTGTTCCTTCACTCCTCAAGGCTAGTGGTCTGCCAGTCTCAAAGAAAGAAAGTTAGTTCTGCTGCAGATCAAGAGACGTAAGTCAGCATGCAAGGAGAGCATAAGCTTGAAGCAAATTAACCCTTCAGACCTGTTGGAATGCTGTTAGAGTCTCAGCCAGCCAGCCCTCCAGAGGAGAGTCACAGCCTCGGGATCGTCATGGATGTGGCCTGCTAGGGACGGGTCTCAGGATAGCCTACATAGCTTCAGAGGCTTAAAAGAGTCCAGATGAAGCAAGAGAAGCAACACATATCTTCACTTCATCCATCCATCCATCCATCCACCCATCCATTCATTCACAAAATAACATTTAAAAAAAAAGACAGATTTGAATCAGTCCTGACCTTCAACTAACTCAAGCAGTGGGGGAAGACGACAAACTTGGGCTTCATCTGAAGGCAATGGGGAGCCATGGAAGGTTCTTGAGCAGGAAAGAGGCAGGGTCATATCATTATCAACATGACCCCTCTAAGGCCAGTTGTAGGGAAGAACTGGAAGAGAGAGGCTGGAGGCCAAAAGCCCAGAAAGGAAACTGTTGTGACTTTGGGGGAGGGGAGAACCAAGCCCAGGTGGAGATAGCAGCCTTGGTGATGGAAGAAAGAATGATTTAAGACACTTTTAGGAAATGAAACTGAAAGAGAGGTGCAGCGGGTGGGGGAGGGACTATTAGATGGACTCCCAGAGCCCTGACTCTAGTGATGGGGGCTGGAGGTGCCATGGCCAAGAGTAGTGAAAGTGCAGGGCTAGGCTGGGAAGAAGGCAGTGGGAAAGGTAGCAGAGTTTGCCCCAGGGGCAGGTATACTCAGTGGGGGGAGCCGGGGTCCCTGGGTGGAACTGTGGGAACACACATACACACACTCAAGCTTAACTGTGGGAATAGGAGTGAGGGACTGAGGTGGCCTGGCCAGGAAAGTAGCAGGAGAAGATGGTCCTTGGTGACCCTGGTGAGAGTTTTTCCAGGAAGGAGCTGGAGAGGGCAGCAGCCAGACCACAAAGGGGGCATTCAACAGGACATCATCAGCCTTCTCCCCTTTGACCTCTGATTTCTGCCCTGAGCAGCAGAAACCCCACTTCCATCACTTCCCCAGAACAGAGTGTTTTTCCTACTTGTGCCATTTCCTTGGACAGGGCCCAATACCAAGATTCCTAGACTATTCGGACCAGACAATGACAATATTTTCTATCTCAACTTGGAGGTGGCGGCTAACACTTTGGGTCTACAGAAGGCTGGTGAAGTGAGACTGTCATGCTTTCTTCTCCTTCCTCATGCCAGGCTTTTAGTCAGGCCTCAAGTCACACAGGTCCTCAGGGACCCAGGTGTCCTGACCAACAACTGTAGGAGACGTTGACCCAGGTGGTGTCAGGAGTTTAGCTGAGCAAGGGGTCTAAGCAGACAGCTCAAGCAGCAATGGGTCAAAATGAGAGTAGCAATGAAGCCTTTAATCACATACTATGGTATATTCTACCGGAATCTAAATGGGAGAAACCACCGCCTCCTCCCTGTCCCACTTTCCCCAACAGAAAGATGATTGGGTGCTAACGGAAAAAATATATATGATTCTAGGGGCTCCTGGGGGGCTCAGTTGGTTAAGCATCTGCCTTCGGCTCAGGTTATGATCCCAGGATCCTGGGATCAAGTCCCACATCAGGCTCCCTGCTCAGTAGGGAGCCTGCTTCTCCCTCCCCCTCTGCCTACCACTCCACCTGCTTGTGCTCTCTCTCTCTCTCTCTCTCTCTCTCTCTCTCTCTCTGTCAAATAAATAAATAAATAAATAAAATCTTTTAAAAAAAGATGTGATTCTAACTGTCAAGGGAAAAATTATTCATGACACTCCTTTAGGAAGGATAAAGACTGTATTCAGGGCCAATTGCAGTAGATACAGAAACAACCACAATGGGGTTTGGCAGCAGGAGAGAGACTGGGCTCAACTCTGAATACAATAAAGAAAAGTGGGAATTTAAAGCCAAGGAGCAGGATGAGGGTCAGTGGAGGGAAAATCATTTTGAGGGTTGGAGATGGGGAGGTAGGAGTGGAAAATACTGAGTTCTGAGTCAGAGTGGGGAAAGTGTCTTCAAGTTTTTCCCCCATAAGGAGGCCTAAGTGGAGGAGCCTGAAGACCTCTGCCTGAGGCCCCAGGTAAAGAGGGGTCAGAATGAAGACCCCTGGCCTGTAGATGCAACTATGTGAGGAGAATGACCAGCCAGAAAGGTCTGAGTCCTTGACAGGAGCAACTCTCTTCAGACGTTTTGATGCCCTGGCTGTCAGCAACTCTGGAGCAGGGAGGGCAGCTTTGCCCCTTGAGGCCTGTCCTCCAAGGAAGGCCTTCATCTGTGCCTGTGACTGGCCTGGAAAATCACATACAGGTTTTAACCAAGGGCCTTCTCAGATGGTACTGTCCACTTCCTAGGCAGGTCACCTGATATGTAGTGCTGGTGTCATGATCTTGGGATCTTAAGATATGCATGAGTACTAAGGGATGGGGGGTCTTGGGGCCCAGGGAGGTGAGAAGCATCTTACAGAAGCTCCTGGAAAAGTGCTCTTTAGATTCTGAAATGACTCTGCCCTACAAGCTATAAGGGTATAGATTTGGTGTATATAGTACAAACTGGGGAAGTCAGCTTTTCCCCTGGAGGAAAAGACTCAGATCCTAGAGTGTGATCTTGGGCACAACCTCTGCAATGGCCTCTCCTTCTATTAGCCTCAGTGCTCTGTACATCTCTACCACCCTCTAGATAAGGAGATGTGCTCCCATTTCTGGGGTCCTTCCCTAGGGACCCTTGGCTATTTGTCACATTCAGAGACAGTGTCATATATTGGAAGCCATATTTCTCTACCTTTTAAAAAAAAAGATTTTATTTTTAAGTAATCTCTACACCCCTTGTGGGGCTTGAACCCACAACGTTGAGATCAAGAGTTGCATGCTCCACTGTCTGGGCCAGCCAGGTGTCCCTATATTTCTCTATCTTTTTTTTTTTAAAAAGATTTTATTTATTTATTTGTCAGAGACAGAGGGAGAGAGAGTGAGCAAGCACAGGCAGACAGAGAGGCAGGCAGAGGCAGAGGGAGAAGCAGGCTCCCCGCCGAGCAAGGAGCCCGATGTGGGACTCGATCCCAGGACGCTGGGATCATGACCTGAGCCGAAGGCAGCCGCTTAACCAACTGAGCCACCCAGGCGTCCCTATATTTCTCTATCTTGAAGTATTTCCACTTCTCTGAATTT